AGCCTGTTCTGCAGAATCCTGGGGAGGAGGGAGCCTTTTGTGTCTCTGATGTACTAACTATGCAGGTGCTCACTGCTTTCCTGGGAAAGAGAAAGAAGGAAGGAAAGGGCAAAATAGTTCCCCAGCAGCTTGCAGGGGTCTGGAGCACCCTGACCCACACTGTGTGGACACGAGGTGTCAGCAGCCACCCTGGGAGATGCCAGGGTGGAATTGCTTCTGGTGCTGCACATTCCCTTGCTGAGGAGGGGATGGAAGCCTCAGAGGGGATGTGTGTCTGTGTCTGTCTGTCTGTGCATAGTACCCTGTGTGAGGGAAGGAGAACCGACAACTGTGTGTGGCTTCTCTGCCAGTTTTAGTTCGTGGTGTCTCACCCAAAACCTTGTGTGATTTCCCACGTGAGCTTTTCCCAGCAAGGAGCATCCCTGAGCTGGGAACTCCAGGCTGGGTGTGTTGATGTGTTTTGCCCAGTGTTGGTCTGCAGTGAGACAGGAAGGCCAGGCAGGAGCCTCTACCCTGATGTGGGGGCAGAGGGTCCCTTGGCCTTTCTGCTGGGCAGACCTGGTCCAATCCATGTCAACCCGTTGTCACTTTGATTTCTCTGTAAGTTATCTGACTTATTTATGTGAAACTCTGTTTCTCTGAATTTTTTGCACTACATGGGATTGGGGAGGGGATACAAGCAATAGAAGCCAACATGTACAATAAAGATGTTTTCTTGAATAATGGATCCTGCTTCTTGTATCCTTCCTTTCCACTTCTCTGGCTCACTCCTGGGAAGAATGGAGATGCTCTCTGTATTGCTCTGGCCAGAGGAGGGGAAGGATCCCCAGGCAGAAGATGCTTGTGGTAAGCAGGAGTTGGATTCTGATCTTTGTGGGTCCCTTCCAGCTCAGGATATTCTATGATCCTATGAGATCTCATGCTTGGATGCTACCACTGCAGACTTCAGGAGCTCAGAGTAGGGACAAGCAGCTGTCTGGAGTCACTCTGGACTGGCCCTGCCATTGTGGATGTTAGTAGAGGAGGTCAGAGGGGCCAAATCCAGTGCTGAGGATCTGCTGTGCTACAGATGAACTAAAGGAGCAGCTCTTCACTCAGATCCCAGCACTGTGCCCAGGCCAAGGCACAGAGGCTTCAGAGCAGGCTGATTTACACCTCTCCCTGCCCATTCAACTCCAGTTTGGTCTCCCTAGGCCTCCCAGTGCTGTTGACAGCTTTCCCTGCAGTGGAAATGCAAACCAGATGAGAAACATCCTCCTTCCCTTCCAGCTGCCAAGCACAGCTTGCCTGGGGGCAGGTGCTGCCCTGGGGCAGACAGAGCTGCCAGTCCCTGCTGCCAGGGGGGAATGCTGAGCCCATTTCACGCTGAGAGGGGAGTGCAGGGGGCTGAAAAGAGCAATCAGAAGTGCCTGGCAGCATCCCATGGGGCCCCAGAGGTAACTTTCCCATGCGTGTGAGCTGTGGCTTGCCTGGCCCGGCCGTGTCCTCTTTCCTGCTGCTCTCTAGGCTTCTGCTTTGGCCTTCTATAAATAACTACTGAGCTGTGAAAGCCTTTCTGAAGGCTAAATGCTTCCCTCCAGTTCAGCTTCTCCTGGAGGCAGAGCCATGGGAGAGCAGTGTGTGCTCAAGCTGTGCCCAGCACACAGAGAGGGTTACTGGTTTTGGTCCTGCCACCCATTGTGGTGTCCCAGTGAGCAAAATGATGTGTATTTCCAGGCCCTGCACTAGCAGCAGTTCTGTCACTATTCTGAGCTGTAAGGTTTAATTTAGAACAAACATGCTGGAGGAACTGCACGTTGCTGGTCACAGTCTGAGCATGTTAGCTATGGCTCTTAAGAGGAATCACACTTTTGCTGAATAAAACACAGTTGTTGCTGTTTGCTGTAATTCCTGAGCTCTGCCAGGAGGTGCTAGGATGTGGCTTTGCTGGCAGAGAGTTGTTTCCCAGCTGTGCACAGAGAACAGAGCTCCCAGAAACACCCTGCTGTAAAAATTGAGGGGATTTCTGATCAGGGCCCTCTGGAGACATGTCCTGTTGCTTTGCTCAGGCAGGAAGGGTTAATGGATTGTATGACAGAGGGGAGGGGGATAAATAAGCTGTTTTTAAAGGTCAAAAAGAGAGAAATTTTATGGCATATCCATTTCCAGCAAGTGTTGCCTGGCTGTGCCATCACCTCTTCAGGGATATGTTGATTTGGTTACTGCAAGGTAAGGTGCAACTAGAGAGAATCCAACACATCCCCTATATCCATAAAACCTCACATAGCCAATCCCAGTTTGATTCCAATAGATTCTCCAGGAAAACATCCTGTCCTGGTTTTAAAAATCCTGTGTTGAAGAAACCCTCACTCTCCTCTGGGAGTAGTTCTGGTAAGAAACAACCTCTCCTGTTACAATCCATGCCTTGCTCCCACCTTTAGCTCATCCAGCTTCACTTTCTCTGCCTCTCTCCTTGTTCTCCTCCCCAGCTGGTTGTCACAGGTGTGTTCCCCATGCAGGTGCTTCCAGCATCACCACATCCCTGTGGCCAGAGCAAGAAGGAGCTGCTGGATTAGCACTGGAAACACAGAGGAGGCCAAACCTGCTCCCTGTCCCTTTCCCAGAGGACACAGGTTCACAGTCCCTTTTGGCTCTCCCTGGCTCAGCAGTGTATAAAAACTTGGTGGATTTACAGTCTTTGAAGTGTTTCAGAGTCTCCCTAAACAAATGTGTAGCTATGTCACATCATGTGCTTTCCAGTAACTTCTTAGCTCATTATTACTTTTATTAACTAGCTCTGCCATCAATTAAATCAGCTTGACAAGATCTAATTTCCACAGCCCCATGTTGATTTGTATTAATTATATTCTCCTTCTCTAATTCCTAAAGCTAATCCAACTCTCTAACAGCTGTTACATCATTTTCCCAGGGATCAGCTTCAACTGGCAAACCCATAATTACTCGGGTGGTTGTTTTACCCATGGAAATATTGATATGCCTGTTAACTCAGGCAATTTCTTTGCAAATCCCACGGTCCTGCAAGGCTTATTGCAACAGTGATCCAAGACCTTTGTGTTCAGGCCTTTAAACCTCTTTTGACAGGAATTCTCTGCACTTGCTGATCCAGAGCACATCTAAGTTTTGTGTTTACTTTTTATCAGTCAACTGTAGTTCCATGAAATGAAAAGAGGATTGGCTGCACTCCCTGTTTTTCTCAATCTATAGCACAAGAATATTTTGCCTCCTTTCACCTTTTATTTTGTCACTGACTACTCATTACTCTTACTTATATTTCCATCCAGTAAGGGACTCATACCACAGTCAGGAATCCTTAGTTTCCCACCTTTTAAACCATTTCTTCTATAAATATACCTTTCATTTTTCTGCTCAGACATATATTGGATAGCCAGGAAGTTGAACAGGAGCCAGCAGTGTGCTCAGGGGGCCAAGAAGGCCAATGGCATCCTGGCCTGGAGCAGG